GCATGACCAGTGCGTTTCAGCTTTTTCACAACCAATTTTCAAAACAAATCTTTGTGCTGCGTCGTACGAAGGAGGCAAAGATTCCTGTTTAGTACGTAGAAACATATATTTTTATTTTATATTTAAAATAAGATTTTAATTACAATTACCATTTTTTTTCAGGGTGATTCCGGCGGTCCACTATTGATGCAAAGACATGACGGAAGATGGACTAATGTTGGAATAGTGTCTTGGGGCATTAGTTGTGGAGAATTAGGAATACCCGGTGTTTACACAAAAGTAACTTCATATCTCAAATGGATAGCTGTGAACGCACAAGATGTCATTTAACAATTGAATCTTGCTATTTCATTAAGAATATTAAATAATATTATTTAAATAATCTTAACTTTCGATCTATAATTAGCCATGACATTTATATCAAAACAACTAAATAATAATTTTAATAATTTTAGTGATTTATAAAAATATGTGAAATAGCAATTTTTCATTACTGCAGTACTGAACTATAATCTATGATGATATTATAAGCGGCAAGCGCACATCTTATATCTCTACATAATTATTTTAGTTTTTTATTTTTACATAACTCCATGTCACCTATCAGCTAACTGCTAAACATTACAATAATATTTATTATTTATAAGTATTATTAAACTAAGGCGTTGAAACTATGCAATAAATATGTCACACTTCACAAGACATTTATTTTCCTCATTGCTGTTTGTTTGATCACTGCCACGAAATCATAAGGAGTTGATAATGATGACGAACAAAAAACAAATAATCTCATAAGGCCATAACCAAGTTACCATCAAATTCAATGCCATTGTACATCACTATAGTATTGTATAAAATTGTGCAGTTAACATTCGTTTTCAGTAATTGCTATTTGCTTTTAATAAGCTCATAATAACCGTTTGAGTCAATCATAGCTAAGAGATTTACTAAAAATAAATATTTTGTATGTTTATCTCAGTAATCTAAATTTTCTGTACTTTTTTATTATGTACCCAAAGATATTTAAATAATTTTGTTAGGTTTTAGTGATTATTCTGATGTATAAACGATATAAAGAATACATAACATTAATTAACGATTTATATACAATTTTGTGCATTGCATAAAAATGTATTTATTTTCTCAAGTATAATATATTATGATAATATCGATAAGGAATCATTTAGCAAAAAATCCATATCGCACTATGTAATATCAAAGGTACCTAACACGCAGTATTGTAAAATCAAACGACAAACGAAAAGAGTTATGAGGGAATAAAATTTGAACTACACCAGTGGCGGGCTCATACTATTCATACTGTTCATAGTGCGAATAATACAACGACCAAACCGAAGTGCCGACGAAACGCGAGGTGATGTGATGGCTTACCTCGATGTCCGTCAGAAAACTGGATACAAAGGTGTGCGGTGGTTGGGTCATACACGTTTCAAAAAATAATAAAAAATAATAATCGTAATTCGTAATGACCATACGCCAGGCGGTTCATATAGCTCGCCAGTGACCTGAGAATATTATTATACTAAATAGGTAGTAAATTGTGAACAATATAGTATTCCGCATTACCGGCTACTGTTTGGGCGAAACCGGGCAAGCGAGATCTATCCAATCAACTAAACCGGTTCCTAGCCGATGTCGAGTATAATAATATGACGCGTTTATTTTTACTCCCATTACCATAATATTATTTTAATATATTATTATCGTCCCGGCGGCGGCATCGCTCGCCCGTCTCACTCGTGCATACGTTTTCAAAGAGCCCGCATTACGAACACTATGCTCAACAGAGCACATCATTGTTCCTGAGGAGACGACGGGCAAGCTGTATCGTTGTAAAATGCTGTTACTGAAAAATGCCGACGTTTACTTGTTGCCTCTGTGCGCGTTGCTCGTCGTCGGTCTTCGCGCGACTGCAGCAGGTAAATGTTTACGCACGATAATACTAAAACATGATAATTTAATAAAACATCGAAGAATTTTATTCGAAATAATAATTGTAGTGCACTGTTAGTTGTAATAATTGTTACAGTATTGTTATTTATCGTTATTTTATCAGGTCAACTGGTACGGGTTAAACTTGAAAAAGACGCAAAACGGGTGATCACAACAACTGTAGGTAGTCTGTAATGACGAATTGTTAATTTTTAATTATGTATAAATTATGTTGGCTCTAAATACATGATGCATTTTTATCGATTTAGAATGATCAACGCGTATGCTCACATGACACAGAATGTGTTTCGGGGTTCGAATATTGTGACATAAATTTGGGGCCAGAAAAGCGAAGAAAATGTGGTTTGGGGAATGAATTGTAAGTACCGACAGTAAACTAGAATTCAAATTAACTCGTAAATGTTTTTAAGGAATATGGTACATTTACTGTAAAATAAATTGTTAAAACTTAGAAATAATACACTAGGTAGGTATCATAATTTTAATTTTTAATAAGTAAACTGTTTAAAAACTTAATACATTAGGTATATTAAAATAGTTAATTTAATGTACAGTGTACACCTATATTTTTATCTAAAAATATATACATTTTTTTTTTAATTCATTTATATTGATGTTAATAAGAATTTATACAAACATACTTTTTTTACAACTTTCAAAGCTTTGTGCAGAAAATTTTAAATAAACACAAATTTGTTTTAGAGTTGTTAAAATATTAAGAAGTGATGCAAACTAAAACGAATAAATTACTTTGTCTTGTGTCCTTGTTTTCAAGGCACTATAATTCATCTATAACAGTTATTGTTGTTGTAGTACAATTTAACTAGGTAGGTACCAATTTTGCAATAATTAATAGGTAGGTACCTAGCCATGTAAAACGCAATTTTAAAGACTGAGATCATAAACTAATTTTTAAACCTTAATATTTTATTTAATAACTAAAATGAATTAAATATTTTTATTAATTGTCACTTATTACCTACTATTCCTTTAAGTAATAATAAATAAATTAATACTTTTAAAATTTGTATAATACCTACAGTTGTAAATATCTCAATTGAAAATATTCTCATTTTAAATAAAATAAAATATAGAAAATACATAATAATATTAAATAATGACACAGAACATTAAATATTAAGTGTGAATATTTTTTCATCAAATAACTTTAATGTCACTTGCTAGTAATTTTCTGTAGGTATTGTAGTTGTTTTTGGCTATTAAATATTATTAAATTCCAAGCATAATTAGATAATATAATTTAAATTTTAAAGTTACACACTATTTATTATAGTTAATCTTAAATAACTTAGCATATTATGTACCTAGCTCAAATATTCTTATGGATTGTTAGTTTAAATAATTTTATGTTATACAGGTTGAAGAATATTTTGCAGTATATTTATTTCAGTGTTCAAATCTAAAATATAAATTACTCATGTTCATATTTCAGAATTTATTTTCCATGGTTGATATTTATACCTTTAATAGGTATCTACTATGTAATAAAACTAGATTAAATACATTTATCATTAACACCCCCCACCCTCATTTAGTAAAAATAATATAATATATAACTACTCTATCTACTCTGATATAATACTATATCATAATACAAATATTAATGCATTCTTTAAAATTTAATGTAAGCTAAGGTGACCATATTTAAAAGCAATCATCGTTAAAACATTTCCATAATAGTTAAACTATAAAATTTGGTTTCAATAATTTCATATCAAATTAAAATTATTATTTTATATATTTGTTTCGTATAAAGATTTTTTCTGTTATGCTCATACTAAAATGGCTAAAGTATTAAAATCACAGGGTCAAAAAACTTCCTATTTAAAGTTTGTCTTTAAAAAATGAATATTTTATTTTTAAACAGGACATTATATCATATGATTGCCCTATTGTGAACAATATTTCATATTTTTAACTAAGGCAATAGACAATTTGTATATTAGCTTTTATTCTTATGTCATAATAATATTATAAATTCTAAAATGATATTTAAACGTTATTTTTTTTTTACTTAGATCGGGGAGTTTTTGCTGCCCTGTTGATAAAGTTATTCATCCAAAAAGAGAAAGAAGAAAGACTGTTGACGATGATGAATCAGACTTAGATAAAGTTCTAGATCGAGCAGCACCAGAGCCTATTAAACCATTACCAGAAGAACCGGAATGTGGTCAAAACACTAAGTCAATATCCAAAATTATGAATGTGCAAAATGCTAAAGCCAGTGATTGGCCATGGATGGCTGTGTTTTTAGAAACGACAAACTATATGAATTTCTGTGGTGGAGTATTGCTTAATCGACGATTTGTGTTGACTGCTGCTCATTGTTTTAAAAAGTACTTCTAAGTTGATAAACAAATTAAGTTAACATAGATGCCATTTAAAATATTGTCAAATTATTATAATAAACCATTTATATATTTTAATAATTGACATATATTACAAATCTAACTTAAATTTGAATTTTGATTAATAAGAAGTATTATTTTACTATCTATAAGTTATTAAATATCTCAATATTACTGAGTAATGAGTATCACTAAATATAGGTAATATTATACTAAAAAATACATTACCCCTATATATTTTATAGGTATAGTAATAATGAGTTACTACTACGTTTCGCAATAGCTAATTAATATTATTTTACTTGGTAAAATTATTGATTTAAGTATAATAATAATATACATTTCAAAATTAATTCATCAAAAAAAAAAAAGTATTTAATATTTTAATAATATATTATATTTTTTAGTATCTATTAAACATGAAACATAATTATACATTTTTTTTTATTATTAATCGTACTAATTTTCTTACACAAATTATTTGTCTTTTAAAGAAATTGATAATTTAATTGATGATAATGACACTCGCTATATCATTTTCACATTCTGATTGATGTGTTTAAATGATTTTGCAAATAACATAAAGAAACCGTTATAGATAAGCTAAGTGTGTCCACTCCTATCATACATCTATTTTAAGTACAATCTTTTCTTAGTGGTCCAATTTCTTTTTTTCAAAGGTCCCTAGTTTTTGATTTATCATTTTATAGTTATTACATTTTAATTTTTCTTTTATTAAGTTAGTATAAATGATTTTGTTAAGTAATGATAATTTTGTTATAATTTATATTTATTATACTATTATATCATGGTGATTATAGAAATAGCAATTCTAGTTATTTTAAATTTGCGGCATTACCCCCGTTACAGTTTCATATTTAACTTTGTACTTTTATTTTTTAGATATACGAAACAAGATTTTGTTGTTAGACTCGGCGAATACGATTTCACTACTAACAACGAGACACAATACATTGACTACAGAGTAACAGATATTAGAATACACCCAGACTATGATCTGGCTACACACGCTAATGATATTGCCATATTGAAGTTGAAAAGATCTACAATTTACAATTCGTTTATTCGACCAATTTGTTTACCTAAAACAAATATGGAAGTGTATGAAAAAAATGCCGTCGTAGCTGGTAAGAACTGAAAAATTCCCATTTTTTATTATTACTACCGTTGATAGTAGGTTATGTTGGGTACCTATATAAAAAAATTTAATAGACGAATTTTTTTTTAAATAACAATCTCATGCTAGGACCGATTCAGAATGGCTAAAAGGATAAGATCCTCCCACCAGTCTTACTCATAAGTTCTACCACACATATTGAATTCCACTTTTTTTTTTTAAAGTATATTTAATCAAATAAATTATATATATATACATATATATGGGTAATTAAATAAATTTTAAACATTTAAGTAGAAATAATAAAATGTATTATTTAATACATTATGTTTTTGACAACTATAATGAAAAAAATGATAGAAGATAGATATCACTAGCACACATTTATCTATACTCATAGGTGAGTGTATGTGATTGAGATTGTTTTATAACTACTCGTTCCAACTTCCCATATAATTTTACTTAAAACTTGGAAATTTTTTACTAATAAACATTATGTTTATCTACTGATTATAACTGTATAGATTAATTTACTTTATAATGATTAATTAGGTTGGGGCCAAACAGTGTTTGGCGGTGAAGTCAGTAACGTTCTCCAAGAAGTTGCAATACCGATATGGCTGCATGACCAGTGCGTTTCAGCTTTTTCACAACCAATTTTCAAAACAA